CTCTCTCTCTCTCTCTCTCTCTCTCTCTCTCTCTCTCTCTCTCTCCCTCTCTCTCTCCCTCTCTCTCTCTTTGTCTCTTTCTCTTTGATTTGCCCGACTTTGATATATGCTGTATTAGACAATATGATCCATAAATTTTGAGTTCCCATGTATGCACTTTCATTAGATTGGCCCTCACCAATCAGCCTGACACCAAAATGATTTAATCACTTTAAGTTGATGGAGGCTTAAAGTATTTATAAGATTTTTTTTACACAATGTTTATTACAGAAAGTGCCGCAATATATTGACAAACCAACTGTATGCTGTGAAGATAGTGGCGCGACGCATTGGATGTAGCCGAGAGGTCCAGCTTTTGAACCACTGTCAAGGTCACCCAAACATTGTGGAGCTGGTGGATGTCCTGTATGATGATGTGAGTATAAAGTGTACACAGTGTGTTTGCCTTCACTGAGCACATTTTGACTCTCTCTCTCTCTCCCTCTCTCTCTCTTTCTCTCTCTCTCTCTCTCTCTCTCTCTCTCTCTGCCTCTCCCTCTCTCTCTCCTTCCCTCTCCCTCCCTCTCTTTCTCTCAGTCCTATATTTCTGGCTAAATGCGATTCCTTCGGGGCTGACTCCTAATCTTAGCTCAACTACCAGTGTGAAGGGTGCTACTGGCAGATCCTACTTCTTTTCAATGCAGGTTAAGAGAATGGGATATAACGAATGCAGTTGTAGGAGTTTGAAAGTCAACCATGTCTAATATTAGTATGGCAAACGAGAATTATTTTTAAAATGTATGATTTTTTTTTTCTTATCTTGAAGCATAATAGTTATTGCCATGATGAGAGATTTTCTACATCGGAGTTGGTCCTCAGTGGCATGATTGAATCAGCCCACCTCCTAAATAATCTAAAATCATGTCGATTGAAGTGTGAAACATTTACAGTGGATCCAGGTTTTATCCAGTGGTGGAAGGGAAGTAATTTAATGTACAGAACTAGAACTTTAAAATGTTATGGGTTGAAAAGACAGGGCGGAGACGAGAACATCAAGAAGTTTATTTACTTTTGGTACAATTTTTGTTTCTGGAACTTGACGTGAGGGATACCTGCAGCAAGTGCACTCCCTCAAATGGTAGAGAACAATACACATTAACATCTTTTCTTGAAGTGCATGTGCAATTTTGTTGTTGTTTGTTACCTCTTGTTCCTGTTTCTTTATTCCCTTTTCTTTTTATTTCACTTATCTTTGGGCCAAGTGCTCCCGACTTTGAAATGAACTTCGAAATGACTTGTCTATGTCCATTGAACCCCATAAAAAAGTGGACAGTTTGACCTTATAAAAAAGCAAACTTCAGAGTCCAAATCTATTGAGACAAAATGTGGCAGTTATCATGATAACAACTTCCAGCAAGCTTGAGCCTACAACAAAGTCACTTTTCTGTGTCCCTTTGACTTTTCAGCATCTTACCTACATAGTGACTGTGTCCCTTTGACTTTTCAGCATCACACCTACATAGTGATGGAGCTGCTGAAAGGCGGAGAACTTTTAGGTCGGCTGAAGAAGAAAAAGTTTTTCACGGAGACAGAAGCCAGCGAGCTCATGTGGAAGCTGGTCAAAGCCGTGGAGTTCATGCATAGTCGTGGAGTGGTTCATCGGGACTTGAAGCCAGAGGTAAGCAACCACCAACTGGTCAGTCCAACAGTATTTGTTTTAAATTTTGAAGTGTGGAGAAATTGAGAAAAGAAAAATGTGGTTTCTTTCCTCAGTGCATTGAACATTATTACTGTCACTTGAATAATTGGAGGTAATGAAGGTAAATCAAGAATACCTTATGTCAATAACTCAACACATGATTGACAGGAAAAGATTACAATATTATTGTTTTTTGGGGGAAACAAGGATTGCCTTTTTTTGATCTGGAACTTGAAGAAGCCATCAAGGTATAGTGAGCAAGTATTATTTGTTTCCTGGGTTGTGCTTTTTGTTTGGTTGTTAAAACGAGGGTGTGTTGGCTTCAGATCCATTTTGTGCTGGTGTTTCTTTGTAACGTTAGTTCTTTTTATACTTTTTGTATCCTGTCAGGGATCATTGTAAATTTACTTTGAATCCCAATCTCTTCAGTGAGCTAGGTACATCTCAGAACTCTTTACAGTAAACATGATTCAAGTTTGAAAGGAAAGGAAGTGAGTTGTCATATTTTCCTTTCAGATAATTGAATTGGCTTGTGAGCAGAGTATAAGTGGGAGTTTTAGCATTTTTATTTCAATTATTTTGAAGAACGTTGTGACTCTCTTACAGTACATTATTTGAACGTAAATTTTCAGACATTTCCATAGCAGAGGGTGAGTATTTTACCCTATCCGCACGCATTTTACTATCGTATCCATACAGCGTGGGGAATTCTGTGCCAGCACTTTCCAAAGAGGAAATTTACTAGTTAATCCTATCCGTACGCTTTGCATAGCAGTCTGTCAAAATGATTTTTTGAGAAATTCTGAAATTTTCAAAGAGATCTTCATATTAAAATTATTCTAAAATGTGAAGAATACAACCTTGGGGGTACAAAATGACCCCAGGGCATACGGATAGGGTTAAAGTACAACTAGTATCTTTTCTCTTTCTTTTCAGAATATTTTATTCGAAGACGATACAGAGAAAACAGAGCTGAAAATTGTTGACTTTGGCTTTGCAATGAAGAACCCCC